TCTACTGATCAAAAACATCTGGCAGTTCCGAAGTCAAGACTTAAAACATACGGAGACAGGGCCTTTTCCGTTGCTGCACCTAAACTCTGGAATGAGCTGCCATTAGATCTTAGAAGTTTAGCTACAATTAATTTATTCAAGAAACACTTAAAGACTGATCTTTTTAAAAAAGCATATAATGTTTAACTTTTTGATAATTTAGAATAGGATTTATTGTGATATTTTTATAAATAAGACTGCTAATAGGTTTTTAATTTATTCATATTTTATTACCAGTGGGATCTTTTTAATTATTTTAATATTATGAATTGTAAAGCGCTTTGGTCAATTAGTGGAGTTAGCGCTATATAAATTATGTTATGTTATGTTTGCACTTGGCCTCATTCAGTTGGAACCCATCGAGACTCGCTTGTCTCAAAAGGTCATCCAGAGCTTCTTGGAGTTTGCTCTCAGCTTGATTGGGTGTGGTGTATTGTGTTTTGGTGTACTGTGGCATATGTGGAAAGAAAAGATGAAACCCTGCGTAGCAGGTGCATAAGCATGATACGAGAGCAAAAAAATTGAAAGAAGTTTTGAAAGTTAACGACAAGTTTAATAACTTTATCTTAACAGGATTTCAGGATATGGGACATGTACCCGCAGAAAATGATCTTGCTTATTTGGAAGAGAGATTCGCTTTTGAGGAACCCCTTCCGACGCCAGTCCCCTCTGTGTTTGTTGACGCTATTAATGGCCTACTTCCAAATGACTAAATAGAGAATGCGTCAAGGGCAAATAGCACTTACAGATCGCTCTTAAACTTCTTTCAAAATTCCATCAGTTAACTGAACATTATACATGAAGCCCTTTTCACTTTTCAACACTTTATTAAGAAATTTATACTGTCGTGGAAGGACCAGTAAAACAATCCTTGGATTTGTTACCTTCTTTTAGCATTTTTCTCATTTATATTTGCATTAAATACCAGAATAAAAAGCATTGAGATTTCCTTGGTGGTGCAATGTTCTTATTTTCGTCGTATCCTGCAAACTACTTACGTACACTTCCCTGGAATCATTCAAAGTTTGTAATAAGTCATCACTATGGCTGAACGCAGCATAGAAAGCATTGTTACTGGTCAGGGGCACCCGACCTGAAATTGTGAGAAAAAGACCTTAACTAACGACAACAAAAAAGAATAAAGCTTTTTGAAGACCTTTTAAAATTCCCCCCTTCCGTGGGGGGAAGAAGTTTCTCACAAATAGCACAAAAAATCTACTTAGACGTCCTGAATTGTCTAAGGAAAATTAATTTCTGCAAATTCCGAGCCAGCAAAAATGTGCCTGAAGAACAGATATATTGAGAATCAGATCCGTTGGGTGCCCCTGACTGGTAGCGGCTGAATTTCATTTTCATCCTTTGCTTTACTCTTGCCTAAATGACACTGAGATAGCTCGAAAGAAGAAAAGCCTATGATATTTCAGTCATAGTGAGACATTTATTTGCTCATTCTTATTCATAGAACATATTAATGTAAATTTTGTTTAACTGAAGCCAATTACTTTAACCTTAGGGATGATTAAATTATCAAAATAATGCAATTCAACTAGTCTAACAGAATTTAACGTCCTGTTTCAACCAACCAAAATTTCAAAATACCCAGTGTATTCAGCAGTGGGAGTTGTTGTGCACAAAATGCGGCGTACATTCAACAGGAACCATTTGAGTTTTCTATAATCATAATAAAACTGTTTACTGTTAGTTTAGTTATTTTTATGAGTAGAAAATGAGTCACGTACCTTTTGAATCAAGGGTTCAGTGCCGGGTGCCTGAACTGATTCAGAGATTTGATTTCACCCAGAGGCTGAGGGTGTAATACCATCTAGCGTTGTGGGTTGGCCACCTGGAGCTGCTAAAGCACGAACAAGGGGTATAGCCATTCTGTGATCTTCCTGTGACGCAAAGGGTTGCCCACCAGTTTGCAACAAGGGTCGGCCATCGTGCAATGGCCACACGTTACCTTCTCGAGTGGTTATTCCTTGACTGCCTGTGAGATCCATCGTGGGTTGGCCACTATGAAGGGTTATGGGTTGGGCAAAAGACATCCCCAAAGGTTGACCAACATTAAGTGAAAGGGAGTGACCAACGCTTACACCCAATGGTTGATTAGGCCAAACTCCAGGCATTGGAAACATTGGTGCACCAGCAGGCATCATTCGTGGCTGAGCACGTAGGGGAGCTTGGGCAGTCCCTAAAGGTTGGGCAACATTTGCTGAACGGTGGTCTGGTACCTTTACCATTTGACCAAAGGGTACCCCCGGTGCCATAGACTGAACACCGGGTATTTGGAACGTTGGTGCACCAGCTGCCAGCTCGAGCGAAGCTGTCTCTCAACATTCCTACTTGTTGTTGGTTTCTCACCAGTAATTCAGTGAGCTCGGTTTGCCACTTTAGGTGGCTCAAGAGCTCTTTGCTAGTAAACGCTGTTTCCTGTAAGTGAAACAAATCAAGGGAAGGTATTGAAGGAGAAACTTTTATTATGTCTTTATTACCGAGACTTCTCTGTGTCCACCCATTGTCCTCATGTCCACTCACTTACAACACGCCTACACAGTTGAAAAAAGGTCTCATACTCTTGAAATCTCTCTGAAAAACACAAAAATAATACAAATCTGTGTATGGGCTTGGCAGAATTATCTTATGCTTTCCGATAACGTTGTATCAACAGTTATGCAAATGACAAAACGTTTCCGTATCCAATAAGATAAATGTTGTAGGAGGGTCTGAACAGGGTTTAGTGTTTAGTGTTATTTGCCCATAATTTTTAGTGTTTGCTGTTAAATTGGCCACTTTTTTAATGTTTACTGTTTCCGAATAAAATAGTGCTAAGTGTTTTGAGGGTTTTTCAGCTTCGGACATCTTCAGCAATGGTCAGACCTCTTCGTTACTCTTTGGAAATCTTCGACAGTCTTTGGGAATCGTCGCTGGCCTTCTAAAATCTTCTGAAATCTTCTGAAATAGTCCAGAATTGTCGTAAAATGGCCGAATATTATTTGATATACTAACAAGATAATATTGGCCTTTTTGGAGCAGTTTTGGCTTCTTTATGGAAAAAAATGTACTGTTTCAAAGAATTTTTTACTGCTGGTGTTAAAATGCCTAAAATTTAACTGTCTTATGTTACAAAGCCTAAAAAAATGAAGTGTTTAGTGTTATCGAGGTAAAAAGTCACAAGGTAATAAATCATTTTTTGGCTAGCTCTGTCGAAGGGAGTATATCATGAAAAAAAGATATATATAATACATATATACACCTGCTCTTGACTTCGTTTTGATCCTTTGCTGTCCTCATTGAATTTACTGTCCCTGGTTTGATCCTTAAAAAGACATTGTTCAATGAAAATAATATGATAAGTAAATCTCAAAGCTAAGACACAACAACATTAGTAATGTATCATTACTCTTGTCCATTTGTCTCTGTTGGATGTGTAAATTGCACGCGCAGGACAAAATGTTGATTTTAAAAGGGGTGTGAGAGACGAGGACTTTCCAGTTCAGACATAACTATCTAATGAAATATACATTTCAAAGGTATACCGTTTTAAAATGTGTCAGTATTTTCCCTTGAAAATCCTGGATGCACTACAATGATGTCTGGAATTTTGACAGTATACTACACTCTATACTTCCAATCGTGGTCATGTGTCTTACGATTGAATGGGAAGAAGATAATGAAGTATAAGTATGAAAAGAATTCGAAAGCATTCATCTTCTGGGAGTGGTAGAAAAAAGTTGGTGGATAAATTCACCAAAAAAATTTTAACAAATGATGTTAACTATCTTGTTTCCTTGTCTTCAAAAGGTATTTTTCCTACTTACAAGTGACATTTCTTCTGCTCTATTTCTCCCTGTGCATTGATGGTCAGTTTAGTGAACTCTTTCTCTATGACTAGAACCCCTATGTTGAATGTGCCATTTTCAATGCCTTCTTGGATGCTCTTTTTCAGCATTGATTGGAGCGCATAACTGGCATGGAAATTTCAACATCCTTTTGCTTTCTGATAGCTCTCCTTACCCTGAATCCTAACTATAAAATGAATATGTTTTGTTATAAGAAGCAAAGGGAAATAATGAAATTATCCAAGATGGTTACACTTGTTTTCTCCAGCCTACTTCTCTTTATAGTTGTCAGATTTTGCAAAAATGTACTTGTCTCAGGTTGCAAAATTGTAATCATCTTCCCCTGATGAGGATACACACGAGCCCTTCATTACTTCCGAATTCTGAACCCTTATTTCTAATTCATTCTCACCTTTACAGAACTATAACTCTGGTTGGCCTAGTTACTATTTACTACTTTACTACATACTAGTATTACCTGTGAGGCCTTCCTCTTTATTGATTTGCACAGCTGGTGCTCAAATCGGGAAGTATTGACCTCTTTTGACTTTAAAAAGGCCTGTTGCCCTCCGTTGGCAGGTGTTGTGTCACTACCCTTGGTCTTTATGTTGTACATTCTAGCTTTTTCTGACCAGTTTGGAGGTCCATCACGCCATGACTCTACATCTGCTAATAGCTGATCCAACTCTCCCTCTATCACTACTGTGAGGAACCCTGTGAAACCTATGTGAAGTTTATGTGAAAACCATGTGAAATTCTGTGCAATTTTCACAGGATTTTCTCATGGTTTTAACAGGGTCTTCACATAATTATTCACGTAGAATTTCACGGGAGTGTGAAAAACCATGTGAAATGGGCTCCACCCTTTGACAAGGTATTTCACAGCACAGCATGTGAAATACCATGTGAAAATATATGTGAAACATAATAATTATTAGTCACGAGGAAGATTATCTTTTCCTGTGAAAAAGGATGTGAAAATATGAATTATGTGAAATACCATGTGAAAAAAAAAGATGCGAGAAAGAACAATGTGAAATACCATGTGAAAAAGAATGTGAAACTAAAGTTACAAGGCCAGAAATGCATGGCCTTTAATTTGCCTCCCCTAGCTTCAAGTATGTTCAGGTCTATATATATTATTCAAAGTTTCAGCTGTTGTGGCCTCGAACCCTTGCTTTCTTTATAGCTATTATGTCAATCATGTAACACTGTAAGCAGCGTTTGGTGTTTTCAAATTTGTATGTCTTTAAAATATAACTAACTTTTGTCAGTTGTCAGTTGCTTGATGATTGCTTCGCAAGAAGCATGAAACTTGGAATAGCAAATAAATAAATTAGCCTACCCACCGCTATAAATATATAAGTTTACAGCTCTGGTTTTTCTTTTGAGGACTTTTGTAGCTTATAAAGTATACAACCTTACCACTGGTAGTTATATATATATATATATATATATATATATTTTATTCCGATGAGCCTTAACATGGACTGCATGGCCCAAATGGCTGGAATAGACATTTACATGCCCATAAAAACCTTGTTAACATTGAACAATATTACAACAAATCAACAATATTATAATATAAACCTGAGAGCAGGCCCAATTTTAGCAGTTCTCATACATTCTCTCTTATGTTGTTCTGGCCTGCTGCCGGCAGAATGTTATTTACAAAGCAAAACCAAAATATAGAGCCTGATCTCAGGTTACATTATAATGAAACCAACAAATAACATCACTGTCCAAGATGTTTTAATAAAATGATTGAAAGATTATTGGAAAAATATATGAAGGGTAAGAAATAAGAAATACACAAGTAATGCATGAGTTTCAAATGAAAAAATTGATAATAGGAAATACTAATGAAGACTTTTGCTTTTTAAAATTGCAACTCTCCCTTGAGATTATAGGTCAAGAGGAAGAGGAAGGAAAGGCATGTTATAAATTTGAGTTATTTGGTCCCAAAATAGACTAGTTTTGTCACACATACTGATCGACTTAGCTTAACAGTTTCTGACAGGGTTTGCACGCGCCTTGAAAGTCCTTGAAAGTCCTTGAATCTCAAAATAAAAATTCAAGACCTTGAAAGTCCTTGAAAATTGCAGTCAGTGCTTTAAAGTCCTTGACATTTCTTGCTAATTTCATCCAACTTAGATTCTAGAGTGCCTTGTATGAAAATATATGCTACTGGCAGAAACATAGCAACAATAGTAAAAGAAAAAATAAATAACACTACTCTGAACGTCCATCAAACACCCCATGCACATTTGTCCTGTTCTTGGTTATATTCATCGCTCTGATTGGTTGAATGTCTGGAATGTTAAGGGCCAATGAAATGTTTTGTACTATTCGCTCTTTCTGCGAAAAGCCATGTGCGTTGAGTGTTTCCTTGTTTGGGTTGGTGTTGATTGTGTTTTGTTTCACGAGTGAAAGATTTAAAACAATGGGCAAGTGTGTTTTCAGCAACTTGTGGCTGCAGAAATCACCGTATAGAGTGGCTACGAGAAGTCAAGGGTGACAAGTACAAGGCACGATGCATCGTGTGCATGAAGGATGTTGAAATTTCGAGCATGGGAGAGTCGGCGCTCACAAGTCAATTAAAAGGAAAAAAACATCAAACACTGACATCCCAGGAAAGGTCATCAGCAAGCGTTCCAGATTTTTTGGGCGTTTCTTCTCAACGACCAGCAACTAAAAGTCATGATGCCAAAGTAGTTTCAAAATCTGCTTCATCTGAGAGCGGCAAACACAGTAAGCTCAACGCAACAAAGTCTATTGCGAGTTCATCTGGTTCATCAGTGATGGAAAAAAGTGTCACTCGTGATTAGACATTGAAGGCAGAAATTTTGTGGGCATTGAAAGCGATAATGTCTCATTACTCCTATAAATCATGCGAAGGTACGAGCAAATTGTTTCAAGTGATGTTTCCTGACAGTAGGATTGTGAGTCAGTTTTCATGTGGAGAAAAGAAATGTGCATACTTGATCTGTTTTGGGCTCGCTCCACACTTCAAGCAACTTTTGAAGGATGTTGTGAAAAATGAAGAGGCTTATGTACTAATGTTTGATGAGAGCCTTAATAGCGTGTGCCAGTCAAAGCAAATGGATATTGACATTCATTCATGGAATCAGGACAAACAGAAAGTTGAAAGTCGCTATTATACCTCAGTGTTTATGGGTCATGGCACAGCAGACGACATGCTTTCTCAATTTCGTTCAGGCATAGAAGGAATTCCTCTCAAAAAAGTTTATCAGGTTGGATGCTACTCTCGTTATGTTTGGGTAATTTAAATAAACATAACAAACGAAAGATAAACACGGTCGTTTCTTCGCTGATGACGTTACCTCATAGGTTTCGTAAATACATGTAGTGTGGTGCAAACCGCCGTTACTTACGAAAAACATGCAAATGTTTTGTGTAATGCCGTTATTTAGTATAAGAATATTGCCATGAAATCTTACAATGTCTGTTATTATTTTGCCGTAGAAGGGCGAAAGATGATTATTGATTACTTAATCTAGTTTGTTGCATGTGATATATTTTATGTTCACAATCTAGCCATGTTCCCAAAAGAGAGAAATTTTCAGTGGGAATTCTATTAAATAGAAATGAAACACCTTACTTGGTTTTCTGCCCTTTAAGGTTTAAATAATCAACACTCTTTCATTGCAAATCCTCACAATTCCAATGCATCCATGACTTGTTTATTTCGTGTCTTGGTAAACTGTGACACAAAGTCTGGGGCATAATGCAAGTAATGATAAAGTAATCTGTTACCTTTTCAATATTACAAGAAACGTTTTCTCTCATACTAGGTGTCAATGGATGGACCCAACGTTAATTGGAAATTTTACAGTATGCTGACTGATGAGGTAAAAAAGGAGCATAATAGTCACATGTTGAACATTGGCAGCTGTGGTTTACACATTCTTCACGGAGCATTCAAGGATGGCGCTGTGGCATCAGGATGGCAATTAGACAGGTTGTTCTCTAACCTTGACTGGCTTTTTCAGGACAGTCCGGCAAGGAGAGACGACTACACCAAAGTAACAGGAAGCTCACTGTTTGCTTTGAAGTTCTGCAAACATAGATGGTTAGAGAATGTTTTGGTTGCAGAACGTACACAGAGTATGTGGGACAGTGTTGTCAAGTATGTTCAGAGTGCAATGGCAGGGAAAGTTCCACAGCCACAGAATAAATCCAGAATAAAGAGTTTGTTGCAGATCCCTTTATGACTGCAAAAGTGGCTTTCTTCCTATCATTAGCCAACCAAGTGACACCTTTTTTGACACTCTATCAAACTGACAAGCCAATGCTTCCTTTCCTGGCTACAGACCTGTACAGCATGCTTGGGGGATTAATGAGAAGATTTATTGAGACTGCTGTTATCAGTAAAGCCAAAACCCCATTGAACCTTACAAAACTTGACCCTGCTGACTGCAGCATTCATGCCTCTCATTCCCAAGATTGACCTGGGGTGTACAGCTGACAAGAAGATCAAGGAGTTGATTGCAAAGTCCACAGTTTCAGAGAAAAGAGTGCTTCAGTTTCAGATGGAATGCAAGGAGTTCCTTGTGAAAGTGGTTTGCAAACTGATTGCCAAAGAACCAATTCAGTATTCTCTTGTAAGGAATATAAATTGCTTAGATCCAAGGAACATGATGAGTGACCATGATGTTTCCATCACAAAATTCAGGAGAGAGTTTTGACTACCCTTGAAAATGCCAAGAAAGTTCTGGAAGGTGCCTGTGATTCCCTTTTGGAACTATTTAGACAATTTATTATGGAAATCCCCTCTTCTTCTCTGTCAGAGTTCAAAGACTATGATCCTAACAGTGACAGACTTGATTCCTTTCTGTATCTTCACATGGGACAGAAGCGATCCTACCAATTATCGTGGAAAGTAGGCGCAGACCTACTGATATTATCACATGGCCAAGCCAGTGTCGAAAAAGGGTTTTCAGTCAATAAGCAACTGGAAGTTGAGAACCTTCAAGAGTGCGCCTTCATTTCTCAAAGGCTGTACAAGACCATGTGCAATATGTGGGAGGTGTCCTTTCTGTTTCAATCAGCAAACCTCTGCTCTTGTCAGCTGCAGGAGCTAGGCAGAAGTATTTATTATATCTTGATGAACAAAAGAGGAGGAAAACCTCTGAGGGTGTAGAACTGAAGCGAAAGGAGCTAGTCAATGAACTTGACAAACGTAAAAAGAAAGGAAGGCGTTTCGAAACTGATGTTGACGGTCTTGGTAAATCGGCAGACGAGTTTGCACAGAAAGCAGAGGATACTGGGAAACTTGAGTGGATTACAAAGTCAAATAGTTTGAGGAGAACTGCAAAAGAAAAGGAGATGACTCGCAAAGACATTGAGGACAAAATTTTGAATGTTGTGGATGAACTCAAAAAGACAGACTTTTACCTGTCTGTTAGCTCGGCACAATCGCTACTATGAGAAACTGAACATCCTTTGATTTTGCAGTTCGTGGAGTCCTTGAAAAAGGGAAAATATGTCCTTGAAAGTCCTTGAAAAGTCCTTGAATTTTAAGTCCAAAAAAGCGTACGAACCCTGGATGATGGTCCTTGACTGAACCCCTTTGGTATTAACAGCTGTGCGATCATCTCTATCTCTATTTTCACTGTCACGCCATCGAAAAAAAGACGAAAAACCGTTCGATACCAAACTTCCATAATCTGGGAAGTGAAAGAAGATAAGCATTGCCAATTTCATATGCGAGATATTCAGAAAAACGTTTAACCTAAATTTATAAAGCTTTGCATCCTGACGCCTGTACAGCCCCCGAAATGATCCCCAACCCCGAAATTATTCCCTACCCTGAAATTATCCCTAAATCGACCCCGACATGATACCGACCCAGAAAAGGATCCCCAATTCTCAAACTTTTCATGTACTAAATTAATTCAATGTAATACATTCGGCTCAGGAAAAGCTGGGCCTAATAATCTTGAACTTCCAAATTTTGATGTGAAACCTCTTAACAGAAGGATTCAGGATACTTTCCTGTACTACTAATCGTTTTTTTCTATTTGCAAAGTGGGTTGGCAACCACGGCAAATTTTACTTAATGACGTCGGTTTTGCGACTTAAAACGACAAGAATTAACTTTTGACTCGACAAGATTTCAACAAATTCACTAGTTTCCTTACTTCTCTTTGTCGGTTCCTCCCTCGACCTCTTTAACACATCATCAATCGTGAAACTTTTCAGGGAATGCCGTTCTCGTCTTTTGAACGCCGTCAATCTCAGCCAGGTTCTCAAATAGCCCTTAAAGCTGGGCTCGCAGTCTTGAAACATTTTTATCGCCCTCCCAAGCCTTGTCAACGGAACCTGAAAACTGTTGAATTCTCTAATGATCTCAGTATTGGCCTGAATTGAAGATAATTGTGTCAAAATTAATATCGTGGTCTCATGGAGTTAATTCAATAATCTGTGTTTACAAAACTTTAGTGGCTTTTTTGGTTGTGATTGGTCAAAAATGCTATGAGTGTAATGTATCTGAGTGACTGATTTACAGGAGGCAGATTTCTTGTTTCGTGATATTTTACAATCACCACGTGAAATTTGTCACTTTCTTATTACAGCCAGCTTTTTCCAGCCTGGCAAAACAGCCATACATTTCCATATACAAAAAAAAAACGTTAATGTGGTCACCCGTTATAAGGTCAATGGCCACATTTTAAAATCCCAAACAGCAGAATCCCCAGTGAATGTCGCAAATGTTATTGTTTGATGTTGTATATATTACTTTATTTGCAGCAGTCACTTTAGAGGAGTTACACACCTTACCTTGTGATATTTTATATCAGCCGTTTACAAGGTAAATTCAGTAATGTAGCGTTCCTAGTTTAATCTAACTGAGCGCGAGGATATTGCAGGTCATTTCATTCAATTCTGAAAAAATACAAACCGCTATCTACAATACCCTGCGAGCACTGAGGTCTTTCAAAAGACTTATCTAGGAAGATCGAAGGGCCCTCTGCTCACAGGATGCATCTACAACCGCCTTACAACAAAATACTTTAGATATCAGAGTTGAATTAAAATAAATTGTCTATGCAAGGAGAACTTGTTCGTGCTAAAGGGCTTTAGGTTCGGCGTCAGGGCGTCCAGTGTATCATTACCCTATGAAGATCGTTCATGTCCGAAGGGATTTATTGGGATGGTCTCTGCGAATGTGATTGGTCCCAGGGGTACAGGGTGCAGAGGGGTCATTTTATAAAATCCTTGATTGTCGTTAAATTCACAGCTAGCCTGCGTGACAGAATCGCTCTCGTTTTATAAACTTTGAAGGTGGTGTATTCTACACGAAAGCCGTTATGTGGGTTAAAAACATTATTGATTTTGAGAGATTTTTCAATCTAGACATTCCCTGTCTCAAAATAAATCTCACTGTAATCTTTATGAGTTCCTCAAGCAATGAATTAATGCATTAGTATGAAAACTCAAAAACAGATATTTCTGTGGGTTTGTGGCAGCCATGTTCGTGCCTGTCAAAAGAAACACCAACATGATGTCACCCTAGGTGGGGGAAAGGTCCCCCGACCCCTATGAAAGTGGCGGGGGAGGTCGTCGGAAAATTTCAAAAACACCCTTAAAAGGTTCCAGAATCTTGTTTTATGGGCGTGTCCCAAATATATTTCCACCCCTAAGAGGTACCGCAAATTATACTGGCTTGTTAAAGCGTACCAAGCATCTGTTGCCTCTGGGTCCTCTGGATGCACGAGTTGCATTATACAAAGCTTTAATAAGAACTCTATTAAACTTTGCTGATACCATCTAGGGAGACAGCGATAATCATGATATTACATTAATGCATGATGTACAGGTGAAATGTTTAATGCAATTCAAGAACGTAAACGCTGCAACAGACTTTCGTGGCGGAATACCATTCCATTCCAATAATTAATTGGGGACTCTTGCTGGTAATGGGGAGGGTAAATGGTTGGCAAGAGGATCTAATGTAGCAATCTTAATTATGCTATGATTCATACTGAAATTGACAGAAATACATCGCAGACAACAAGGGAAAATGAGAAAAAAATATCAAAAACAGTTTAGGTACTGTAAAAATAGGTGACACTGTCATTATGGTTCCAATGACAAGAGAACAATGGCAACTGGCTCCATTTAGAATTTAAAATTTTATTATTATAATAATTATCTTCTACCCTTCCTGCCTTCACCCCCTTGCCAAACCCGCTTTTAAAAAAGGGATTTTTTATTACAAGCAGCACTCTGGTTAACACAACACCTTTTATTGAATTAAAGTAAAACAACAAACAATATCAGAGATATTTAACAATGAGAACTTAACTGACTCTGATTCTTAAGTTAAACAATGTTTCTCTTAGCAACACGGCTTTTGTTATTACATGTTACAATTATTGACAGAGGTCATGATAAATATAAACTGAAATGAACTTTCTGCTGTGAGTCATTTTTCTCTGAGGTCAACAGGTATACCTAAAATAACCATTGTCATCACTTGCTGTAGAAACTGAATCAGAGAGGGTGGGGCTTGGAGTATATGACCTTACTCCCACTTGACCTGAAACTTCGGGGTCAGGTGAAATTACAGAATTATATCCCCTGGGACTTCCATACATATTATTTTGATACATCATAGCATGGCTATTGTAACCTACTGGGTGAGAAGGATGAAACTGATGCTGAGTCTGGCCAGACATGGCCATAGCAATCATCCTAATCCCAGAAGAAATTCCTTCTGCCATAACAGACAATGAGTCAGTCATTTTTTGCATTGTGCTTTGTAAAGACTTGTTTGACTCCTCAAGTGAGGCAATCATTTGCTTTTTCATGATGAGGTCTTCTTTTGCTGAATTCATTGAAATCTGATCACTCTTGGCTTAAGAAAGTGCCTTCTCCATCTGCGTTCTTTTATTATCCACTAACCGAGGAACTGCTGACAAAGACACTTGGGTATTTTTCTGTTCTCCTGTTTGCGTTTCTTTGCATGTGGAAGTTGAACCAGTTTGCCAGATATAGATTCTGGTTCTGAAAATTTGTTAAAAGGCACTTCATAAAACAACTTATATTACAGAACTACCCATCTACCATTCAATGGATCTCCATAAAAAATAATGATTCCAGCAAATTCATCAGCAAAGAAATAATAATAATATCATTATAATAATTATCATACAACAATAATAAAAGTCATAAGTGATTCTTGTATTGTCTTGAATTGAGGACTGCT